CGTCCTTCACTTCATGAAATGGCTGCAGCATCAGGAGGCAGCCTCTGAGAAGTGCAGCACCAGAGGATGCTACGTTTCACACACACACATCGAACGGCCCGATTATTCCCCCTATTACTCGTTGTATGAAGGAAATGTCCGGTCACAAAGGCGCATGATGTGTGTGTGTATGTGCTCTGCTCAGCTCCGGTGTGTGTGTGTGTGTGTGTGTGTGTGTGTGTGTGTGTGTGTGTGTGTGTGTGTGTGTGTGTGTGTGTGTTCGGTGTGTTTGTGTGTGTCCAACAACGGCATTTGTTTTCAAATTACCATGAACAGTAATTTACACACATCTGGCCAACTCCATAGGTATGTGGGTGTTCCCAAAAGAAGTTAGTTTAATCTTAATCTCGATGTAGTGCTAAATGCTGTCGGAGTGCACCGGAACGAACGCCCCGGTATGACGTTATTATGATTGGCAAACAAGCCCAGGGGTCTCACTGACATTTCAGTTATATCAATATGTGTACAGTGGTCCTAATTTGTTTTAATTGTATCCTGGTTTTAAACATTGTCAATATGTTTTGGATGCATATTGTTCTATTATTTGTTCAGGCTGTTACATACAATTAGCCACTGTTGCCACCTATATTAGGCTATATTATATTATATATTATATTAATATTTGTAAAGCGGTCCTAATTTTTTGTTTTAATTGTATCCTGGTTTTAAACGTTATTAATATGTTTTGGATGCATATTGGCATTTCTTCAGGCTGTTAAATACAATTAGCCTCTGTTGCCACCTGCTGGTGAGTAAATATTAAAATCAGCTAAAATTGACAACCGGTCCGCACATTTTTTTGAATGTATCTGCCGGTCCTTGGCACAATAAAGGTTGGGAACCCCTGGCCTAGATCACACGACTCATAGGAGAATGTACATAGTGGCCATAATCACAAGATGATTCAAGACACATGTAACCCAAAGAGCTGTCAGAGGCCTCATGACAACTCTCTGACATCTGACATGCTGTGTACTGACATACCAGCAGACAGCAAGTTGCTAAGTATGCGCTACAAGGTAACGTGTGCATGAGACGACATTCAACAGGTCACACACCTCCTGAATATGAATCAGAGAGAAGGTTTGTGTGCTAGGGTCAATTTCTTCATACCGTTCACAAGTACGATCACCCATGAATTGGACTTTGCTGTTCAAATAAACCTTGCCTCTGCATCCTGCAAACAACCACAACAAGAAAAATGGGGTGACATGTCACTATAACCTCGACTAAAAACGCAAGAATCTGGACTTGTTTTCTAAGGGTAAGGCATAACTCTGCGTGAGAGCGTTTCATCCTGAGGTCCAGCAAAGAAGCTATGAAGTTCAAATACAAAAGACAAAGCAAAGCATGTATGCATTTATTCATACGCAGGTCTAGAACCACCAGACTCAGGGACCGTTTCATCCCACAGGCCATAAGAGTGTTAAACACCTGAACTTTTGAAAGAACATCCATAACATTCATCTGTTTGCAACTTATATCAATATTCCAATGACTTGTATATAGACTATTCTGCACTATTTCTATTATATTATATTTTATTTACTTGCACTATTATCTGTTATATTGTGTTGCACTGTTGGAGGAGCCTGTGACCTAAGAATGTCATAATTACAGTGTAGCTATGCACACATGACAATAAAAGCCTTGAAATCGTGAATCTTTCAATCTTGAGCGCGCGTTAAAGAATTTTAGCAAAGTAAATGCATGTAGCTGTGTGACCGACAAATGTGTCTTCAACATTTGGAGATGTTTGCCAATCTGTGTGTGAAATATCCAGTGGAGAGGGTCTAGCATGGGGCCGGACTGTAAACCTGTCTGATTATTCTGACGGCCCGAGCAGGTGCGGCCCACCAAGCAACTGCCAAACTGAATGTCACGCACACACACACACACACTCTATAAAAACAAAAGTGTGGAGAAATGACGCCCGGCCGGTGTTGGAACAACACTGCACCCAAACACACCAAGCCGATATATCAGCTGTACACACACACCACCATACAGCCATAATCTGGAGGTTGGAATGCTAATACCCCCATGAGGTTACATGAGACGGCTCAGAGCAGCAAGAGGGGGGCTGGGTTGGGAAACTGCTCTCAGGTCTCATTGGAGAAAATTAAACTAGACAATAGTCACGCTATGTTACGTATTAGCACCAAAGATTGTGTCCGCTATTTTTCATTTGGCAAAAAGTGACAATGAAGGAGTTTACCAATATTAAAGAAACTGTCAGCCAAACTTAACATAACTTATTAAGCAGAAATATGATTATTTTAAGAAGTTTGTAAGTAAAATTATTTCGATTTTTTTTCTGACTGGGATTCAAAGTGATATTTTCAACCGACTGTTCAATTTGTGTAACCTATGTTTGATGGTTATCAAATGTAATATGCTGTTTACTTTAACAACAACATTTGAAAAGAGAAAATAAACAATGACAATAACAGAAAGCTTATTAATCAGCTAAATTAGCATTTTAGCTGTAGGGCAAATGCATTTCAATCTCCTGTTACTATTACACTATTCAGAGCCAGAAAATTAAAGTTTTAGGAATATTTTTATATTTAAGTGATTAGAAACATCTGAGACTGCCAAGGCACACNTCACAGCTAGAGTGGAGGACAGCTTGAAATTCGCCTTCATATTTTTCAAAGCCTTTTTACTTTCTTTTCTCTTCTTAATACACATTCATTCAATACTACTTACATTTAATATCTAAATCCTTCAGCCTACTTTCAGCTACAGAAACCATTTAACTAATACATTATTCAGCTATTTCCGGACATTGAGGTTATAAATGTTATTGTTTATACCTTTTAAAACATTTTCTTTTAAATATTAAGCTTATTCACTATTTTTCCTACTCCTCCAGTTTAACATTTCACTTTCAAGTTTTCAACAAAGTCATTGCAATGCATTTGAGCTGTAACAATTTTGATTCAAATCATTTCACTTTTCTGCATTTCTCCGCTAAGTTCAGCAACACACTTGTTTTTTGTAGCTAAAAGCAGCTACCGAGACCATTCAACTAATAACATATTCAGCTTTTTCTGCATTTTCAGCTAAATTCAGCAGCAAATGTACACAGTTTACAGCATTCGCACGCATTTTCAGCAGGTAATGCATTTAGCTAGCTAGTGTGCTAAATACAACCCACTCTTTAAAGTTTTAGAACTGTTTAGCTATACCTATGTTGAATTAAAGCTTCTTAACTTGTCTGTAATCTTTTATCCTCAAAGCCAAGGTGCTAGACTGGCAGCACCAAATTATTGCAGTATTTACATCACTTCCTCATACAATGCCCAAATTCAAACCTGTCCGGAAACAACTCTTCCCCAAATGATATAAAAGGCATCCTCAATTATTTGAAAAAGAAAATGAAAAACTAAAAATCTTACTAAGGGAAATTAAAGAAAGCTGCATCCTCACATAGTTTGTCAAAAAATATATTGTTTTTCTTGTAAATAAAACATGATATTCCTGCTTCTGTTCAAGTTGTTTATGAACATTACAGTACATTCCAAATATATATGTATGTATAAATGTCGTAATTGTAAAACGCTTTGGCAATACTGTATTTCATTATAGTCATTCCAATAAAGATAATTGAATTGAAATACTGAAGCAACTGTTCACTTACTGTCACTAGGGGCTGCTGCAGTGACTCTGAAACAAAACAGTGTTAAAAAGAAAAGTCAAGTTTTATTAAGTTCAGAAAAACAGACCTGTTTTTAGCTTTTTGTGGATGCTTTGTGTTTTTTGTAATGGTTTATTTGGCTTAAAAAGTACAATAATTTTCTCAAACTATAAGAATAATGTATACTTACGTTTTACAAAAAAATCAAAATCCACACATCTGGAAATACACGGTTGTCATTGGACAGACTCTAGGATGTAGTGGAGTAGAAGTATACTTGATTATATTTATTTACGTAGTTACATTTAACCACTGTTTACAGCTTTAATGAATTGTGGTTAGGAGCCTGTTATCGCTATCAATGTTGAATCAACTGTCTTAACTATTACAAAGGTCATTGCCCTAAGTTGATTTTGTATTATATGTGAATTCATCTGAAAATATACATTCCTTTCTTTATTAAATAGACCTGATTTGATCAATACTGTTCCTTTAATATCTGCACTTGCACAGATGTATACAGTAGCCTACATTGTGCGACAACCTTAATGTTATCCCTGTTTATAATCCCTTCTCTGTGTTAGCCACCCTGCTGTCTCTAGCTCTTGCCAACATGCCTCAGAGCAAAGCATTGGGATGTTAGTGAAAAGAAAGCTTGTCTATATAGGGATCAATAAAGTATCACATCAAAGAAAGTGCTAATCAGACTTCTTACTCTCCTTTTAGAAAAAGATGGCACATAGAGACATTTAAACAGCGTCTGAGGACGGATGCCGTCCAAGCCTCAGAGAGCATGCTGGGAGGTTTTTACAAGGTTCAGCTCAAGTATTGTCTTTGCCAACGCTTTGATCGAGCAAATGGAGCTCAGTGTGACAGTCTGGCAGGGTAATTGGGCTGATATTGCTAGTACACAAATGTACATGTGTGAAAACACACGCATAGCTGCGCACATACACGGTGACTAGTGCTGATGTTTGTCTTGCTTTCTTGTGTCTTTTTCCCGAGAATAATGTGCATTATGCAGAGAGGGAGTTGCATATTTCGAAACTATTTTGCAGGAAAACACAAATATAATTTCCCCCTGTTGATATGTCAAGTGCATCGAACAAACCCTGTAATTGGCCCCTAGGGAATTGATCACAAACACACATTTCATGCAAAGAGTTTATTTATGAATCAGACTGCAGTATCATACAACAGTAGCACAATCATATGACTATGGATTATGCTCATATTTATAGATACAAAGATAAAGGCATGTCTTAAAATGAAAGAAAATGAATGAGTTCTCTTCTGATTTACTCTAAAAATAGCTTTTAAATACTTGGCATAGTTTTGTAAATTAAATTATGAAACATAATGTTTGCCCACTGTATTTACTATTGGAGTACCAAATGCAAATATACTTTGTGAAAAACATTTTTTTTCCTCCTTTCTCTTGCATTTCATGCAAGGAAGAAAAAAAGATGTCAGTGAGTACAAAAAGCACTTAAATCTCATATGAAAATAGAAAATATTACAAGTGTGCATAATTACTTCATGTTGCACATAACCTGCAGTACAAAAAGTCAAATGACACTGTGTTCAAGTGTACCTGACATGCCAATTATTTGGGGGGGCGTATGTACTGAAATAGGTATTTAAATGTCATTAGGGGCAGTTTACACACAAGACCGGGGCAAAGCCTTTCAGTCTTCAAAATGAATTGAAAATGAGATGTGGGCGTGTCAGCTTGTCCTCCCTGTGATGCTGACTTTAAGCCTCTCTTGAAACACTGAATCTTATCCTGTACTTTTTTTAAATTATGCTTTTTGAGTTATTTGAAGATCACAGTTTTGATTCAATGTTCCCTTCAGACTAACGCCATGAAGAGCAGAAACTATCCTCAATGCTACCGTACCTCTCCCACCAGAGGGATGGCAGAACAGCAAGTTGTGTGTAAAAACCTAAGGTATGAAACAGTGCTTAGTAGGTTAATATTTGGCATTGCCTGGAGTATAATGTAATGCACACATAATAAGGCGACATGATTATTCCAAATTTACAAGAAATGTTTGAAATACTAAGACAAAGTTCTGAGTTGATAAAATGCTACAACTGTAAAATGCTACATAACAATTGAGTGGTACTCGGTGAGTGATTAAACAGTGATGGTTTACTACAAATCTGTTGATACGTTACACCAATGCAGCACTGCTGTTGTAGGAAAAACCACATAACTGCAAACTTTTATCATTAATAATATTTTTTCAAATCATTGTTTAAGTTTTACATTTTTATTTTAAATTCATTTGAAAAACCCTGTATTTAGAAAAAAAAACGATTTTCATACTTTTGCAAATGTATGGTTTTAGCCAAAAATAGCATACTGCATTGTATCCTTTTAGTGCAATAAGTGTTAGGGACGGCAGAACATTTTACACAACATGAACACGCTGTAGAATAAACGTAATAAAGGAGGAAGTTGAGAGGAGGGAAAGAAGGAAGGGAGGGAGGAAAATAAAAAAAATCCCAATTTTATTTCTAAACTTGTTTTTGAAGAACCAACAACAGAACGATACATGATTTGGATTGGTAGACATACAAAGACAAAGATAAGACACAAGTCATGTCTGACCACCAACAGAGGAGTTACAGCTGATATGGATTGATGAATTAAATATCACAAGGAGCGTCCGACATTGACTCTGTTAGCGTATGAAAAAGCACTATCAAATAAGAAATCATGGCACATTCAAAAAGTTTCCATCACGTCAACACCGTCAATGATGAACCCTATCGCTCACTGGAACCGAATCGTGTGATCAAGGCCCACCACAGGGCCATCCCTTCTCATATCACTTAGATTTTAAAGCACTAGAAAAGTATGTATACTCTCAGTATAATACTATACAGACATATGATACCTTGATCTTGATATATGTGTTGAGAAATAAAATGTCATGGTTAAATACAAAATATCTCTTAAAATATTTAAAATATACTTTATTTTGTACATTATGCAAACTGATTAACAATTCGATGATAAAAAAAATAACTTTTCCATGAAATGTTGTCTCTTTGCGATACAGATGTATGAACATAGATATATATCATGAAACCCCCTGTTATACCCTGACACGACTCCATATCCCTGTAATATGATTTCAAATGACACACATCAAAACTCCTGACAATGGGTCCTACAGGTAGCTCCACTACACCACTGAGCTGTTTGTACAACAATATTGCTCTACCTATCTTTTTTTTTTTCTTCTATTTCCCTATATCCATCTTTAAAGTTGATCAAATTCACCAACCAACACTTAAACTCAATCTGTGCCTTTATTGCTTCCTGAAATTACCTGGAAAAGGGAGCTATTCATGGGATTGATCAGAGGACTACCGCACATCTAAAGAAGGCAACTCTCCCCCTCCAGCTTAAAACCAATTCAATGTATAATAGGTCACTGGTCTATCATCTCATGTGGTGTAGAGTCACTCTTCATTGAAGAGCTTTATGGGTTACGGTTGCAGTGTGTACAAAAGCAATGAGACAGGGCACAATGTCGTCACATTTTAAGAAAAGAAAGGCTGACTGATCTCGTCTAAAATCAAAACAGTTCTTGAGCCAGAGACAGTGATGTCCAGTTCTAAAACAGCTGTCGCCTCACCACGACAATCAGATACGCAGTTTATTTTGGTGTAGTTTAAATGCAACAGAAAAGGTTGGGACAATAACCCTTCTATGTCTACGTTAGATTAAACATAAACGCTTACATTCATATCCTTAATAGCTCTCCCGTAAACAAACAAGATTCGTTCAGTATGCAAAAAAATGTCTCAACTGTATTCACTATGGACATTTTATAAGTTCTAGTATGCACGACAGAATTGCATAATGTCTGCCAATGAGAAAAGCATAGGGAGAAGAGAATAGAAAGGACAAGCCGCTACAAGAAGACTAACTAGTAGAAACCCTATAAGAGGATGGGTTTGGGGATGGAGGACAGATGGGGTAGTGGGAAGTCAGTTTGGGAAAGGCTGGGTAGGGATTCGTAGTGGAAGTTGCCCCACAAGTTAAAGGGGCACCTCCCTTTGGCAGTGGAACAGCACTCTTAGTAGTCAACGCAGCGCCGAGGGTGAGGGTGTACACAATGCTCTTGTCGGACAAGAAGGCCATTTCAGTGTCAAGATGAGATGAAGGCATTCTAGTAGGCAGCCAGGTCACAGTGTTGGAGCTAAAAACCTCAGATCAAGATGATGGACGCAGTCTTTCTACTCTGTCTCCGCTCGGCTGGGATCATGGGGTTCTGGGACATAAAGAAGAACAATATTTATTCACAAACACTATATTTTTATCCAAACCTAATTTTGTATTTTATTTCATATCAGCTGTAAGATTAGAAAAGTGCAAATAATTCCCCTTTTGACATAACAGGGATGATATTCGTTTTCAAGTATCCTTTACATTTTTCTGTTTATTTCAGTTCCATACATTTCAATGTATAATGGATTCACATTCACTGGTTGCGACTTGCACCATCTTTGGGCAATGACACCATCTTGTGGAGATGTCTTTAACAGCAAAGCTGCGTAATGCTGTTTTAATTTCAAGAGAGAAAGAGGGACATTTTATTATGTACCTTCATCTGTATGTAATAGTCAAATGTTTGTATTCGTCAAATGTTCTTTTTGACCTTTGTCAAGCAGCTTTGTCTTGGCTGTTTGTCTGTTGCTTTTTTTGCAGATTGAGAACAAAAAAACACATTCATGTTTGTTCAAAGACTTATTTGGCTATTAAAGCTAATTCTGATTCTAATAAACATTCAGATTTTCAACGCAATCAATTTGTTTTACCAACACATTATTTGAAATGTAAGTGGATGTATTTCATTCCCTTATGGTTAAGTCATGCAGTCAGCCTGAAGCATGCATAATACATCTCTGCATAGGGGCAGTGAAACAAACACATATTTTAATTGCATTGGTATTTTCTTTTCTCTTTTTGAATTGTCTACTGGGTTTGTATGGATACAAAACCACATGGGAAATTATTTTTATTTTATGTAAACCTTGTACATTTCTGAAGTTTTCAAGACCTCTTAACTCGACTGATTCATTCTCACAAGTTCCCCAAAGTAAAATGTCCTCCAATGTATTCATCTTACCTGAGAGAGATGACTCCTGCTCATCTTGCAACACTGTCTCCTCAGAGACCTGCGGTGAATGGGTGACCTCTTGATCTTGATCGTTCTCCTCGTCTCTCTGAGGACCAGGCTGGGGCTCCTCCTCTGGTTCGTCCTTGCCCTCCCCTTCTGCCTCCCCCTCCCCAGAGTCAGTACTCCTGATGCTGAGCCGCCGCATACGATACATGACGTCCACCTCCCTCATCCAACCCATGCGCTCGACTGCCACGCGACCTGGAGAAACAGCCAGCTTGGTCTGCAACGCCTCCATTCGCTGGGCGGGGCCCTTGCTCCTCCGCTCCCCCTCCAAGCTAAGAGACAGCCTGCGGTCTAGGTTTGGAGGAACTGAAAGTGGCAGTCTATCTGGCGGAAACTCCGGTAACCCGGGGTGATCTCGCCCCAAATGAGTCCGTAAAACAAGTCTATGCTCTGGACCAGCAAATGGCTTCTTTTCTTGCTCCTGCTTGTTATCAGGCATTGCACTGTCTTGTCCCTCACTTTCACTTTTCACTTCTTCCGTCTGTTTGTCTGCGCTACCCTCAGGTGTTTCTCCTGTATTGGCTTCCTTCTCTGCTAATTCTACTTCCTTAGTTACTGTTTCACTAACACTCTGTTCCGCTGTGACTTGGGGGTCTTGAGGCACATCAGTAGCTGATGTTGTGGATGTGCTCTCCTCTGTAGCTCCGTTTGCTGGTTTTCTCTCAACAGGATTATCTGCACACAAATCCTCCTGGTTTTCTGCTTTTTCACCCCCTCCTACATTTTCCTCTGTCATTGAATTCTGATCCCTTGTTCCAGCACATAGGTCAGACCCTGACTGATTTAAACTTGAATCATTTGGCTCTTCTGTTTTAACACCCTCTAATGCAGCGCGGTGTGGTGGACTGCCATTTTGATTGGTCGAGCTGTCCGAGCTGTTCTCCTCGTGAAGGGGAGGCAATGGGCCCAGTCTCATTTGATTCTCAAGTTCTCTTTTACAAATAGGGCACTCCTCCTCTGATTCACCTCTAAGATCTTGAAGAGTCTCTGCATCATTAGATTTAAAATTGCCTGCGGACGCTTTATTGCCATCCGCCGGGTCTCTAGAGGGACGCAAAGTCTGGCATATGTCCTCATAATCCGGAGGACTAGTGAGCGTAGAGGCATCCTGCATGGGCTGTCTATCTGCCCATGGCATCTCAGCTGCTGCCGTGTTTGTCATTGGACTGAAGTCACAAAGTGGTGTCTCAATAGGCTCATCTGGCAGCTCTAGTTTTACTGTCCTGCCATCGTTGCTCCGTCTGCGCGAAAGATGTGTAATAACCCTGTATTCTCTGAAGCCTGTCTCCCGGGGTGGGACGGGGAGCTCCTCCCGAAGCTGCTTGCTGAAGGTTACTGACTTTGTAGCAGGCCTGGAGAAGGCGCTCTTGACTTCCCTGTATTCTGGGTCAACAGACCAGCTTACTGCACTGCGCCTAAGGCTGCTGGGCTTGTTGAGAGGTTCTGATGTCAACCGGATTTTGATACGCTCAGGAATTTGAACAGAACCATCTGGGACTTTATTGCTGGCAGTGCCTAGCTCCAAGATGTCTTTGTAGGCCTCGTTGAGGTCCTCTATGCACTTATCAACGCTGGGCTGTTTGCTGCTCTGCTGCTGCTGTTGATCCTGGACTTCTTTTTTGATGGTCTCCAGCTCTTTGACAGCATCCCATGGACGCTGGACGATGGGTTTCAACAGGAATGGTTCGAATGCTTCCTGCCCACTGTTTTCTGCTGGTTTGGGCTCCTCCACGTTTCCTGAGGGTGGTACTGCTGGCTGCTGAGCTGTGCTCTTGTTCAGCTGGTTGGAGAAGGTGGCGGTCAGGGAGAAGGCGCTGTTGCTCGACAGTTTCAGGCTCTTTACTCCCTTAATAGGAAAAGTGAACGCAGTGCCCACTGCACTGCTGCTATCAGTAGGGACTTCAGAGTCTGGAGCGACAGGGTCTTTTTGTGCTTCGTTGTTTTCAGGGGCAGGTTTTTCGGCCTCTGGGCTAGTTTGTGTCTCCTGGTCTCGATACTGGTTTGCAGGCCAGGTTCCCGACAGTTTCATCTCCTTGTAATGGTTTATCTTAGGGGGTCTACAGGGTACTCTTCTAAACATTTTGCTGCTCGCTCTACTGCTTGTTTTGCTGCTACCTATGCTACCAGTTAGTGCTTGCAGCTCAGCTTCAGCTGAAGATGTGCTTTGGAGACTTTGGTTAGTTAAATGGCCAGTTTTGTTGTCACTAGGACTGTCCGCTGGATCTGGTGACTTTTCATTGTTGTTATTCTGATCACGGATTGTCCCAGTAAGCTGCGGAGTAACGGGTACAGACACTAAACAAAAAATGGTCTCACTTAGTCTCTTTTTAAGATTCTTGGATTTGTCTTTTTCTGGTGGCTCAGGTTGTTCCACCTTCTTCACTTCTGTCACAGTTTCAGAGACAACCTGTTCAGCTGGCTTGCAAGGGGGAGGTGGTGGTTTACCCAAAATAGATGAAGGAAAAAACTGACTACGGTTTTGTTCAGGTCCTACACTGTCACTTTTTTTGTTTAATCCCCTGTTGCACCATCGATTACTGCTGTCGTTGTCATTGGGAGCTGTTTTGCGGCTTTCGGTATTGGGAGCTGACCCCTGTTGGGGAGGAAAGGCACTTTCATGTGTAGATTGTCCTATAATCTTAGCGGAAGGAACCTCTTTGTTGATGTTACGGATCTTGTCTGAGTCTGTGAGAGAACTTCCGCTAGGCCCTCCTGAGATTTGATTCTGTCTTGGGTCTTCAGTGGGTAATTGACTGGCATGACTTAGTTGTTCTTCAGGTCCAGAATATAGCTGTTTACGAAAGGTCGCAGCACGATCTCTGTAATGTTCAAGCCATGAACCTGCCTGTCTGTAAAACCACCTTCCAGGATCTGAGTTGGGCATCTGCAGAGCTTCTGCTCTCCATCTAAGGTTTGCCATTTCATTGCGGTTCATTGAATGTGACCTTGGGGGTGGGCCTCTTCTATAAGATGGGGGTGGGATGTAGCCAGGGGGCTCCATTCCAGTGATGGCAGAGTGTTGTGCGTAATAGTCTTGTCTCAGATCCCCACTTCTTGGATAGTAGATAGGCCTCTCTTTTTGTTTGGCACCCTGTTCTATAGCAAGCATTTCTGCGCTACCCCTATTCTGCTGGTGAGTCTCATATGACGGAGGCTTTAAAGGCCTGCTGAACCTGGGCTTTGGTAAAAGTGCAACATGGCTGCTTGGCCCAGCATTCCTACCCCACCGGTCCCTGACAACAGCACCACTATAGATATACCTACTATAGGGCCCAGAGAAGACAGTGCTGCTTATCCTCTGTCTATCAGGGAGGCTAGGCCTGGATGGAATGAGCTCTCTGCTGGCAATTCTATCAGGTGACAACACTCTTGGGAGAGACTGAGACTTTGCCTTTGCTCTGGGGTGAAAAAAGCCCTCGGGTGTCCTCAGGCGGTAATGGTCATGAGCCCACCTGTCCCCGTCCCCCTCTGACAGCTGCCTTCCCAGGCCCACAGCAGGCCTCCACTCCTCTGTACCGAGGCTCTGGCACTTCCTCTCCCCGGTCACTCTCAGCTGACCAGGGGCTGCGTCCAGGTCCCTCAGCCAGGAAATCTCCTCCCATAGCTGCTGCGCCTGCCTCTCGGCTCTGTGTTCTTCTGCTGCTACCAGGGCCTGTGGCCTCCAAGCACCAGCAGAGGCCCTCAGCTCCCTGCCATCAGCATAGTCCAGGAGGATGCTGAAGTCCTGGCCTCGCCTCCGCCAGTAGGAAACATCCCTCTCTTCATGGCTCAGCGGCTCTGAATAAGTCAAACTGGGAACATCGTAGAACCTATAAAGACAGAAAAGTACAGTGTGAATAAGACATACAAAATATCACAGACTCTGAATCTAGGATAACATTAGGAAACAGTGAACCTTTTTATGGCTGTTACAAGATAAACGATATCTAATACAGAGACAAACAAAGAAAACTATCTTACACATAATATTTGTTATAGGATTGACAGTTTGGTAGTTTAAAAGAAACCACAGAAATGCACTATGTGCAATGAGCAATATTTTCAAAAGCAACATGAATCTAAATTACTTTTATCCCCGCTTTAAGGTAAAATCATAAAACAACCCCACCGTTTTGAGATTGGATAATGGTGTCAAGTCACAATGATGTGTTTTGGTTCTGCCAGTATTGGCTTTTCAACGCAACTTAATCAACGAGAGCCAGCACATATGAGACAGAAGTGCTTAAGTCAGCTGCTCCCAAGTCCCTTGAAGAAACCATGGAATTGTGATGCTCCTGCAATATGGTCTGCATATTAAATTGTGCTGACCTTTTCTCTGGAGCTGGACATCTGGACAGCGACTTTGGCTTTTAAAAAGAATCTAACAAAACATCCCATTACCTAAACTGACACCATAGCAACCTCGATTCCTCCTATTACCAATACATATTACTCAAACTGTACCCTTTAAGGAAATACAGTATGACCAACCAATAATCAATAAACCTTCAAGCAGTATGCTTCACTATGTCACATTAAAACATAGAGGAAAGAAATCACAAGATGAGGGCCTTTTTCATTCTAAGGTGAATATATGATATCCTAAACACTAACCTAATGCCGTCTGAATTTAACATAAAATGGCAAGTTTGTAACGGTTCAAATCAGCGGTTCCACTGTAGTGTGATAAAGCAATGCTGCCTGGAGATCATTTTAGTCGTGGTTCCAAATTTACCTCTGAGGTGCAGGATATTGCTGTAATGCACTTTGCATTGCCAAAACCATTATCTTAGAAATAGCATACTAAATCATAACATATTGAGTCTAAAAAACAGTACTTTTCTTCTTAAAAAAAAAAAAGGGTAATTCTGTTAAATGATGCTGTAGTTCTCGTTTTGGAATTTTCTCGAACCGTTATTGTCTTGCTGTGGTGGAACAGCACTGCAGAGTGAAGTAGAAGAATATATATATCCATCCGTCCATATATCCACTTCTGTAGGTTAACTGTCATATCAAAGCAGGTTTGAAGTCACCCGGATGACAGTCAGTTATAATGGAACAAAGGGGGTTTGAAATCCCTGTTGATTTAAATAAATCAAAAATGGTGTTTCCCCGAGCTATTTGATTCATATTTATGATACAGCCACAATATCCATGATTTGCAGGAAATATAACCATTAAATATACCAAAATATAAGTTTCTTAAATATACAGTACTAAATAATATAATAGTTCTGAAAAGGAATAACAATCCACTTTAAGAGCCTCATCTCACATCTGCATTGCACTGTGATAGTCACTGTACTCATTCATTTAAGCAGCAGAGTCAATGGATCATCCTCAGCAGCATATGCTACTGTATGGCTGAGGGGAGCCGCGCTGTGCACACTTGCCCAGCAACATGCTTACATCACAGAGCACGTGCTGGGCGTGATTCAGTGTGCCAGTGTTTACAGTGGAGTGATTACGCGCCTGTCTTGAGGCATGTTCAGTCCACCTCAGTTTGCTCACTGTCTGGTGCTGCTGTTTACATCTGCCTGCCTGCTGTAGAGATGATACCAGCGGATGGGTGTTCTCCACAGAGACGCAAGCCACCTCTGTGTGCCGGCATGTAAACAACTTAAACGAGCGCAAAGGCACCTTTCATAATTCCTCATATCCCGGCATTAAGAGATGTCAGTGGTGCTGCTGCAGCCACAGTGTTCTGCAGCTCTGGAAGGAGGGGAAAGGGAAGAGGAGGGGGAAAAAAAACCTGCGCAGTGCAGACTCAGTTTTGCATGCAATACCAAAGGGCCCCAGTGAGAAGGAGGGGAGGGGGAGAAAAGGTAAGGTAAAGGGTGTGGGGGATCGAAAAAGGGAGGAAAGGAAAAAAAAAAGCACTCACCCACTATCTGTGGCGAGAGAATCACCCAAGGGCTGAGCGTCACCTAGGATACCAATTCCAAGTTCCTTTCTCCTCAGGATCCTTTCCCCGCTCTCGATGTCCGTGGCGGGGTAGCCCTTCACCAGCGCCTGCCTGCTGCCATAGATACCCGTGATAGATGGCCCCCGCTCCGCCTCGTACCCGTTCAGCGTCCCCCGGCCAGCCCGGTTGTCCACGAGTTCACGCTGGCAATCAGCAGGGCGCTTGTCATAAGGCGTGGCAGACGGAGGGCCGCTCTTGGGCAATTTATATCCGTGCGAAATGAGGAGGTCCTCCACACTGTACATGGTGGTGTCTCTCTCTCACTTCTGGGCAGGAGGGCAAAGGTGGGTGTGTTGCCTTATGCGCAGTGCTGCTGGTGGGAGCTGGAGCACGGTTGCTCGGCAGAGGCCATCACTAAGGGGAGGACAGGGGAGGGAAGAGGTAACATGTGAACAGATTATTTCAGCACGCGCCTAAATGCAGGATGTGCCATTTTCAACACGCTGGCAGATGTCTGAAATACAGATGTTTGTGATACCTTTCCAGATGTGCACATGTGTGTCAGCATGTGTTAAGTTGAGAGCTCAGTTAGTTAGTACAACATGGGATAAACAAAACAGACTTTTGTTAGCTCTGAAAGGTAAAATTTAAACTGCAGATGTTTTTATTTTTACCATGTAGTCGTTGCTCTCCTATAACATGGACAGTTCTTTTTGATATCCGGCTACACCCTTCCTTCCTCCCATAGACATCTTTCCAAATTGTCTAAAGCCATTGTGTAATGTAAGAATTGCTAAATTGAGACTTCCCGTCCATTAAACCTCTCTCTACATAATGATTTATCTACGCTTTTGTCTGGGATACATTTCGAAGCAGGTAGGTGGAACATTCTTCATCAGTCAATACAATCACAGGTATTGTTCTCCAGACACGCAGAGCAGCAGTTGGACAGCTGCACTAATCTTTGCATGTAGACAATCTTCTTACAGACACAAATACATGTGCATGGTAACAGGAACTACCAAGTAAACCTTTCACATTAAGTAAAGAGAAGAGATTAAAGACCTCTCCGTGTTTGTGTCAGAGACGTTTAGGGTGATCTCCTCCGGTATTTTGCGTCATATATTTGCCATAACTTAATACAGCGGCAAACATTCTGTAAGCCCAGAGGGGGAAATTGAACATCCAATATAAATGACTGCACATAATGTATACTGCCCCCTTGTCTCTGTGCAGCGTGACACTGTACGTGGTGTGAGCTCCTTAGTCGCCTGTAATTCTTCTGTCCAAAAGCCATCATGAAAAGATATGGTACATTTATTACATGTAATTAAAGGGATTCAGCTGACTCGTCAAATCCAGTCCAACTTGCAGGGTTGACAAAAAACTAAAGTGATCACAATATTAAGGAGAAAAAGGACTTAAAATAAAGTTAAGTGGATGCTTTTGTTAAAGAAATAGGAAAAACTAATTTGTGTAAGATCAATCTTATTAAGACTGTTACTATTCCATTTTATATTGTGACACAATCCTAACTTCTAGAAATGTATATTCACCATTGTATTGAAGTTATTGAAAATGTTATATCTCTGTACAAGTACCTTGTGAAGGGGTACATCATATTATATTGATCTACTAATCTTATGTTTGACTTAGTTAACCAAACCCAGCCATAACAAAAGTCCACCACACCGTGCGAAGACGAACAAAAGAGGTTCAACAATTAAGATACAAATTAATCTTTGGGGATTTTAGCACTTCCCTCAGACTGTCTTCACAGTTTTTAAGATCTAAATAATGCAGATTACATTAAAAATAATTGCCTTATCTGTGTTTTTTAGCACTGCAAGTATCATTTAATTAATGTAATGATTAATCTGCCAATTATTATTAGTTTACTGATTCATTGTTTGGTTTGTGAAGGGTCAGAAAGAAGTGAAAAATGCTCTAAATATTTCCAAAAGCCCAAGTTATTTTGATCACGTTGCTTGTTTTGACATTCAGTTTACCCTCACAGAATACACAGGCAGCACATTTCTAATTCAAAGGTAGAAATACAGCATTTTGCAAAATTACTTAAACAATGAATCTAACATCAAAATAGTTGATGCATCAACTTATTGTGTAATTGACTATTTATTGCAGCTCTTACTTTAATGCAACAAGTAGTTTAGAGTCAATAAGGAAGTTGTTTTTTGGCTGCATGAAGTTTTTTTTTGTTATTTAGTCTTTTCTCCTAAATTCCTCTGCTGTGAGCACTTGTTTGTGTGAGCATGTGATTGTGTGTGAGCATGTGATTGTGTGTGAGCATGTGAATGCAGGAGCAGCCCTGTCTGATATTAATTAGTGGCTTTAACAGTGTGTCCTGCCTGGAGATGACAGTGGATGGCTTATAAAACAGTAACACGGTGATCAAAGGCTTTGCACACATTAGCATTCTGGCGAATCGTGTTTGGACTTGAAAAGTGACTCGCTGTTCATTTTCCATTATGAAGGTGTCACTGTTGAATCAAAGACGTGACCGTTAAAGTAGAACTACAAACATGTGCTCACTATAAGATGCCAACACTGTTCACAGCAAACAGCTTTATTTATTTTCCTGCCTGAAACTACATCTCTGTTATCTTCAAATCACAGATTACAGTGTAAATCAGGGCTGGAGGTCATGAGGGAGAAGTAATTAATATCTAATACGAAAGATATCAAACACTGAAAACGTTTTATGGTACACAATTCTCTCGAGGAGTCCCAGGGGAAAGCACCTGTTGTGCAAATGCACTGGTTTTTGTAATTTTAGCTTAATAAATAAACGTATATGAGACTTGCTTTTGTCCCTTTTAGTGTTTTTATTTGACCCTAAGCTATTAAAAAGCATTATCTTTTATTTTATGTAATTGTAAATAAGTTATCCTTTGATAATGCAATATATTGAAATTATATTGATTTTTGAAATATAATTTCAATTTTTTTTGAAGTTTTGTTTTTGCTGGAATCAACAAATCCAAATGTCTACTAAATCTTTACAACATATTATTAATAGTATTAAACAGTAGCCAGACTAGCGCTGCATCTATCAATTCATTGTATTATCGATGTATTGGCCAATTATTTTCACAAGATTTATAATTTAGTATAACAACATGCATTTATTTTTTAAGTAGTGAAAATGCCCAGTGATCAAAATTATATCCTTACACTGCCTGTTTTGTTGCTTTATTGCAAAACTGAAGCATTTTTCATTTAATATAATATCAGAAAAAGACAAGCAGACAAGGCGTACTATACGAGAAGCAAGAACCAACACATATTTGACTTTTTGGCTTTAAAATATGTTTAAAATTGAAAGTCGGATTCTCTGGTTACATAGTCAAATGTTCCAAAAATCGAAGAAAAATGTCAATAAAGTCTTTATTTTTTTTTTTTCAATAATGAAAAGGACAGTATAAAAAGGACGAATTCACTCAGCTGATTTGGAAATATCCCCACCTTTTTCTCTTGACCTCAAGTTGACCTTAACATTTCTCACTCCCATAACTTTATCCAATGTGCAGTGAAGAGTTGCCTCCGGCCTGTGAGCTGATCTCATACTGTATGATTCACTGTAACACTTCACATGTAGCCTCAAGATAATTAATATACTATCCAGATGTAAAAGACTCAGCAAAAAAAATCTCCATCCTGACACCACACTGTGTGTAACCACATTTTCAAGGACAGCACATGTAAAGAAGGATTGACCAACTCATGAATGCCGTTCATTGGCCTAAGCAAAGATCACATTAAAAATCAGCATGTTGGAAGCAGGGCGTCTGATGTTTAAGTCCTCCAACTATTTCTGGCTCTTCAAGTGGAGTGAATGCAGCAAAAATCAACTCAAGGGCTTCTTGAATTAGCCAAATCCAAAAAGCAGTCATAACCCTTAAAGAAGGAGTCGTATTGGAAAAGTAACTTCCTTTATCTGTTTTATCAGAGCGAACCAGAGCGAACCAGACACGCAGTGGCCCTTTTTGACAAGGTCACAGCTTCAAATGATTGCAGTGGAAATATAGCACATGAGCCTTTTTTTGCATAGCAACAACAAAAGTAGCATTAATAATTGCAACACAACCAGATTTCCACATGCACATTATTATATATAGAGGGATATGATGGTTGTGTGTGTGTTTGGAGAAGTAACAATAAGGTCAGCTGTTGTAAAAAGTTTCTGTGAGGTAATTCATTAGTGGACATTTACTGCTGTTGGAGTGTGTGTGTTAGATACATTTTTATGTGAGGAGCTAACTTTCCCGTGCTGGCCTTAAAACTTCCACTTGGAGCTTAGATTTATTTAAACTTTGAACTTTACATTTTGAACTGAGGAGGGAGGCTCCCCAGTGTGCAGCCAGGCCTTGCAGACTGCATGCACAGGTAGTGGCCACTGTAACACATCAGCACTAGCAGCAGCACCACCCTAACTGCCGAAGGGAGTGCACCTACATCTTACCTAGTGACAGGGATAACACAGCACAGACCAGGCTTATCATTAAACTGCTTATTCAAACACATATAAATCTCCAGTTCCGCAAATTAAAAACACTTTCCTGATTCTCCTCAAAAACATCCTCCTCAGAATCATTCCCCCCTGGAAGATAACTTGCTGTATGAATGAATAATGATTTGCAATAGATCCGTTAGTATCATAACACATAGCTATCAATAATACATGTGGAAATATCTATCCATGCATAGAGACAGTATGACCTACTATAGCCATCCTATAGCCTGCTGCAGTGTTAAATGGCACAGCCTACATCAAATTGACTGCTATGAAATTATTTGTGTGTGTGCAAATCAGCTCCCAATACCTGCTTCGCCCAGTACAGCAGCGCCTAGAAATAACCCTCCACCTGCACGCAGTGTAAGTTGAAAATATAGTCAGCGGTCGTGTTTTGACGAAAAGCCGCTTTGGCCAAATCATCACCTCGTTGCAAGATGTTCCCCAAGAAATGCACGCAGCGCAGCGGCGGCGCGGATATGTCGAAGGGCGAACATTTTGAGGTGTGTGCAAGTTGACGCGCGGTTAACGAGGAGGCTTTTGCAGATGCATCTTCACTGTTTACCTAGACCCTGCACTACAGTGGAGGCTACGTGAGCCTACAAAAAAAAAAAAGCACACAGCAACCCCTCCCTATAATTAAGACAGTGCAGGCTGAGCGGGGAAAACAGCATGCAGAAATATGGCATAACATTGCAAAACGGAAAAGGGCGTAGCGGCGGAGAGACGCATACCTGGTGAGATGCTTGGCGCGGCCGTCGCAGTTCCCCT